CTCAGCCCCACGTGTGCGCCCATTCCTGCTACCCACTTTTAGTCCCCCGGGCTGCCATGGACGAGAAATAACAGGGCCTGAGAAGGCCGAGCACAGGGAAATTCGCCAGGCCCTTCAGCTTGTAGCTCCCGGCAAGGGTGGCCCTTTCCAGAACTTGGTCCCCACCCAGCCAACAGGGTGCATGGTGAGGGGGATGCTCAGAATCCCAGCCCTCCCCCCCCCCCACCTCGAGTGACTAAATCCCTCAGATCCAGCCACCCACATCTGGATTCGGAGGCCCCCAATCCAGGGAAGCGGAGGGACAGACTCTCAGCCAAGGAGGGGGCCTGGTGGTCCACAGGAGAGACTGATTCTTTTCCTTTTGTTTGCTCACAGGAGGGGACAAACGCCCTGTGTGCACAGAGGTTTGATGTGACAACTTGATAGACCTCATGAGGGTTTCAGCAAAGGCCCCCGGACCCCTCTCTCCAGGCATTAAGATAATGGGGGGGCATGGGCCCCAGCACATTTCAGATCTTGGCTACAAAGACCCTCCTTCCTTCTGTTTTCTTCCTCCAGCTCAGCTTGCCCACAGGTTCCCAGAGACTCTTGGCAGCTCGCTCTGGGGCAGAATGAAGCTGTGAGCTGCGTGGGAGGCAGTCAGACAGCGAAAGTGTTGCAGCCTTCTTAATGAGGGACAATAGCCCTTCTGGAGCCACTCAGCCGCAGCTACGGAGACGGGAGCCCCAATTAGAAAGGAGTGGGAGAAGCAGAGAGGAGGGCCGGGGGGCCGCAGGGCAGATTCGTATCTTGGCTGCTCTGGGGGACCCACGGGTGGAGATCTAGCTGGTTGGGTTTCGAATCTGCCTTCCTTCCAAAGGTGAGACATCACACTGACTCTAGAGCCAACCCGTGGTGGGACCCTTCAAAATACGCAAGGGGAAAGGAGGAGGAAAAATCCCTGGGGAGAAGGGTTTCTCCTTGAGTTAGTAGCTCAAGTATTATAACCCAAGAGTAAGAAAGAAAATGCTGTTTGTTTAATTTAACAGACGTCCTCTGTAAGTTTCGCTACGTTATACATGTGTGCATATGGATATTTGTACACAACCCATAGCTCTCTTTTGTTCTGGCTTCCAACTGCATCACAGTGTGTTTACAGCAAGATAATAATCCTGGATTTTCCGTGGCTCAGTCTGTCAGAGTGTAAGATTAGCTCTTGAATTCATTAACAGTCATCTCCTTTTAAATGTCAGATCACTTTTTAAATGCCAAGTACTTGCGTAACGCCTTCTGTGCAGTTCAGATCAGCTTTACCAAATTAACTCATTAATCTTTATTGTTTCATTTACTGAAGAGAAAGGCTTCCAAGTGTTTTTAGCAGAACCTGAGAACATTATAGTAGTTACAGTACAATATAGGTGAAGGAACGGGTTTGGATTTTCTGCTAAACAGTTCACCCTTGCGTCAGTTCCGTAGTCATTCCCGCTAAAGCGCGCACATGAAAGAAACAAGAAAGCTTCGGGCGGCTCTGCTTTCTTGCTTTCTTCCATTTCCCCCCCTCCCGCGCCCCCCCCCCCCCCCGTTTTCCTTCCCTTCTCTTTAACCTTGTGTTTTCTTCTCCCTTCTGCACCTTCAGAGACCTTGACTCCTGTTGACTATTTATTCTGCTGTCTCTGCTCTCAAAATAGCCCAAGCGCTGGCTGCAAGTGTCAGTTATGACGGCTCTACCACCCAGAGGACAGAAGGTGCCTCCCAGAGATGGGGATGGAGCCCGGAAGGCTGGGGCAGGACAGCCGAGAAGGCAGGAATTCTATTTTCCTTTTCAAAGAACCCCTGCCTGCTTTAACCTCCGAATAAGCAGACACAGGCTATACTGACTGCTAAAGATAGATCCTTCCAGGGCTGGCTCCTCCTTGTCACCAGCTCTCTGCTCAAATGTCACCTCCTCAGAGAGGTCTTCCCTGATCACCCAAAGGCCACTCCCAATCTCTCCCCCATCAACCTCCATCCTATCACTGTCTCATTGTCTTCATAGATTTATCACCCCCTAAAATCACCCTGCTTATTCATGTGGTTGTTTGTCTGACACATACAATATCACTCAAAAAATGTCAGTTTGATGAATAAATGAAAAACCACCCCAACACGTGGCTTTCTTTTCTGGTTTCCACTTTCTGACTTTTTCTCCTCTTATCACTACCTCCCGGAATCCTCTTTATATATTTAATCTTTTCTTTCCGCCCATCTTCCAACCCCCCTTTCCCTATCATTTATTTTTTAGAACACTTGAACATAATGAGCAAAACCAGTACTTCACATTCCAGTGGCTATAAAGCTTTACTGAAAGCATTCCTTCAAGCAGGAATTGATGGCCCTGAACATTAGGGAGATGAGCACACAGTCAAGGGAGTTGCTTTGTCCAAAGATTCATAGGTTGAGTGATTTGGAGGGACTTTTCTCAAAGCCTCTTCAATCTGAGTCCCACAGAAGGAGTTAAAGTGATTCCAGCCACTGGAACTGGTCTTGGCTATGACTTCTGTCCCCTAGCCCAACACAGATCTTCTCTTGGAGATAATGGAGAAATTTCCCTCAAATCAGTAGTGTCTGATTTCCATTATTCCGCCCAGTGATTCACGCGTGATTTGGAGAGCTAGAAAGCTTGAAATGCTTTGATTCCAGCTTGGACCAAATGCTTTCATTTGATCTCGAAATGGGGAGGGGCTGTCTCACTCCAAGACGCTAATCAAATATATGGCTGAGGTGACAAAAAATTGGATATGTATTTGTCCGGAAAAAATCTTCATCTCTAGCCACATTTCAAAACAAAGGAAAAGGGTGTGGGTGTATATCAGAATGATGGCTGCTTATGGGGAGTCACTAACCGTTCATTCATCATTAATACTTAAAAGTAATATAAATGTTATGGGAGGGAGAGTTTATGACTGCCCAGAGAGACAGACATCCGAGAGTTAGTTTCCCAGAAAATATGGAAATGATCAAACCCACACCCAGGGTGATCTCATGGCACACTAATGTACGTAACCCCAGCGAATCAGCCTGAAAAATAACTAGTAACTCTGCCCTTTGAGAATGTGGAGCCAGTGCTGCACAGAGGACGTGCTTCCTGTGCAGTGTCCCCACTGCACCCCATTTTCACTCAGGTGGGCCGCAACGAGTCACTCGCCTCCGATGTGACACTTAATTGTTTATTCAGCAAATGTGTTTCAAGTGTGTGCTCATTTCCAGACCCTGGGCCGGGCACTGCTGTTACAATGGGGATGGGATAGTGGTGGTTCCTGCCCTCATGGAGCTTAGCCGGGGGCCGGGGAGGGGGTTGCTGCATAAGCATGAACATCATCGTGCGCAGTGGCGGGAAGTGCTCGGTGCCCTGAGATGGTCATGGGAGGCACAGACGAGCCAGAAGGATGAGGGAGTTGGCAGGGGGAGCGTGTTCCCAGGAGGGGGAAGGGCATGTGTGACGGCCTTGCTCCAGGGGCCCAAAGGTCAGTGTCGGTGGCAGCTCTTTGCACTAGCCATTCCCACAGCGACATCAACACTTCCCGCACAGAGCCCCATGGCCCTTCCCTCGCCTTCTTCAGAGCTTTGCTCAAACATCGCTTTCCTGTGGGGTCATCCCTGACCACTCTGCTTAAAATTGCAGCTGCCACTGCCATCCCCAGCTACACCTCACTCCCCTCTCTGCTTGATTTTTCTCCACATCACGAATCACCTTTGGACATAACTTGTGTTCCACCTACTGGTTCATTATCTCTCTCCTTTCAGTCGAATGGACATGCGATTTTCATGAGAGTGGAGACTTCTGTCTGCTACTTGCATGGCTATATCCGCTCTGTTGGGCGTAGGACAAGCACTCAATAGATATTTGTTGAATGACTGAATGAGGCAGGAGAGATGGTCTGGGGGCAGGCAAGAAGGGTCTTGTAAACCTTTTAGGCGGGTTGGCCTTCATGGTGAGGGCAGGGCCTTTGAAGGCTGTAAGCAGAGGATGGTGTGGTCCAGTTTGCATCTTGGAAAGATCAGCCAGGTTGCAGTGTGGGGCATGGGCTGGAAAGCAACTTTGGATCCAACTCTGTAGTGCTCTGGAACGTGACACAGTTGTCTGTTGTGTTGACAGCAGAGAGCATGGTCTGAAAGATCAGAGAGCCCGGGGCCTCCTAGCCTTCTCCATTAGCCTCTTCTTCCCTCCCTGCTGGGTTTGTTCAAACCACTCCTCCTAACACGTTACATACATTTTAGGTTTGGAAATAACAGGAATCCTGCTATAACTCTATTTGCCACAAGGCAGATTTGATAACCATTCACGGAAGCTGCAGAAGTATCACAAAGGTCTCATTAGAAAAGGAGTCTTGGGGGGCCGGCCCGGTGGCGCAGTGGTTAAGTTCGCATGTTCCACTTCGGCAGCCCAGGGTTCGCCGGTTCGAATCCGGGGTGTGGACATGGCACCGCTTGGCAAGCCATGCTGTGGTAGGCGTCCCACGTATAAAGTAGAGGAAGATGGGCACGGATGTTAGCTCAGGGCCAGGCTTCCTCAGCAAAAAGAGGAGGATTGGCAGCAGTTAGCTCAGGGCTAACCTTCCTCAAAAAAAAGAAAAGAAAAGGATTCTCGGGCAGGCGATGATTTCAGCTCTGCCTTTACCAGCTGCATGGCTTTGGGCAAGTGGCTGAACCTCCCAGAGCCTTCAGTTCTCATCTGTGAAATGGGAATAACAGTACCTGTGGGTTGTTGTGAGGATCAAATAAAGTGATTACAACCCTGGAACACAGCAAGGCCCCTCGATCCCCTTTCCCGTTACACCGACCCCAGGTGTGAATTAACAACCACTCTCGGATTATTCTCTACACATCTGGGTCCCCTGTGTCCTCACTGGTAAAAATAGCTGTTACTGTTAGTGTTCCAACGATGAAAAATGACTTTCTATAAATATTTGGGGGTTTGGACTAGCTCTTGTCACACTGTATATCATTCCTATGAAAGTTGGGCTTTCTGCTTCTCTTCACAGGGAGCCCAGCAGTCCTTGGAGGCAGCAGCTCAGAAGACAGGAGAGCCTCAAAGTTGTATAAATAAAGGGCCGATGTGTTCAAACAGAAGAGAATTTTACACGCGCAAACTGCACATCGACATGACGCCATTCCTGAAGGTGATCTCACACTGGGAAGACGAGGGGCTTTGTAGACACGCACACAGGCATTCCGGTTAATACACTTCCGCATGGTGCAAAACCAGCCTCAGAAGTCCATCAGCGCTCCTGCTTTATCAGAAAGGACAGAAAATAGCAGTTTGTAGCAGATGAAGAAAGAGCAAATTAGGACAGTAATCACAGCTAGCCGTTGGGGACAAATCAGTTGGGTGTCTGGTTTGGGTGGTGGGGGACAGGGAACAGAGAGGAGAAAGGATAACCTTGAACCACCCCATGAAACAAGCAAATACAATTCATTTCACCTTGACAGTAGCTAAAATAATTGTTACTGCTTTACCGCTGTAATTGGTGGAGCTGATATTCCTGCTGTAGAGAAGCCTCGTTCTTCAGTTAACTATTTAGAAGTCACCCGCGAATCCCCTTTGGGATGTCTGACCTTGTGTTCTGTTCTCTAAGAGTTGATCGCTCTCCCAGCTCAGCTTCATACCTGGGTAAGGTGCTGAGGTTCCCACGGTGGCGATGTCCTTTGTCCATCTTTGCAACACCCCCGCTGCAGCAGCACCTAATACAGCACCACGCATGTGCAAGGTGCTCAGTGCTCCATAAACTAACCCTCCTCTTCATCCCACAGCCCTCTGTCATAGGGCTGTCCTCCTACTCATTCTTTGCGCCCCCTTCCCCTCCGCCACCCGCGCTGAATGAACTGGAATAAAGGACCGTAGCCTAAAAGAAACTGGCCAGGAAGAAAGCAAGGCCTGGCATGGAAGGATCTCAGGTCCTTTGTACTACCCTGGAGGACAACAGCACAGGGCCTTGAGAAGAAGTGACTAGGAGAGGAGGAGAAACCAAGTACTTTCAGGGTTCATGATGGTGGTGCTGCCTGCTGCTGTAGACCGGCAGGGACTTCATAGGTTGTAAAGGTCCCTCCCCTAACCTCAGCTAATCCAGAGTCCTCAGCTTACATCTGCTCTGGGCTGCCCCAATCTCAGCTACGAGGTAGGGCTTTGATCAAGAGAGTCATGGATTTGCCCCAGATCTGTCTCTCTCCATGGCTGGGCTCTGCTTTCCTCTGTTTCCGCTTAGATAGGCTCTTTCCCCACGGTGGAAAGATGGCCACTGGCTTCTCTTTTCCAGATCATTCCAGAACTTAATCTCATTGGCCCAACTTGGCTCACATGCCCATACCCAGACGAATCATCATGGCCGGGGGAATGGAATACGCTGACTGGCCCAGCCTGCAGCCACAAGGACTAAGCCCGGGCAGGGGAGGAGTGTCTCAAAAGGGAAAACAGGTGCTTCAAACCAGAATAAGAGAGAATGACTCTGGGCAGCAAAACAAAAGCTGTTTGCTCCAAGGGTGCAAAAGAGTTACCTGGATTCATTACTCATTGCATTCCTTTGCTAGGGCCGCCATAACAGATTACCCAGACTGGCTGGCTTAAACAACAGAAATTTATTTTCCCACAATTCTGGAGCCTACAAGTCCAAGATCGAGGTGTTGGCAAAGCTGATTTCTTCTGAGGCCTTCTCGTGGGCTTACAGATGGCTGTCTTCTCCGTGTCTTCACGTGGTCTTCCCTCTGTGTGTCCGTGTCCGAATCTCCTCTTCTTGTACAATCATACTGTATATTGGATTAGGGCCAAACCTAATGACCTCATTTTACCTCTTTAAAGACCCTGTCTCCAAATACAGTCACATTCTGAGGTCCTGGAGGTGGACTTAAACATAAGAATTTTGAAGGAACACAATTCAGCCCAAAACATTTACATTAATGAAACTATCCTTTTTTTCTTAGCAATAGCTTAGTTCTTCCCTTAGGGCTTGAAGAACTATGATTGGTACTTCCTGGGATGAGATAGCATCGTCATTTCATTATTGATTCATTCAACCCGTAGCGGGCATCTACCACTTACTATGTGTCTGGCACTTGCTGGGCGTTTGAGATTCATCAGCAAACAAAACAGACTGAGATCCTTGTCCTGCTCCAGGCAACGTGCACAGTATGTTAAAAGGTGATAATTGCTGTGGAAATGAGATAAGAAGATATTTATGGAGCATCTAGAAACTGCAGAATTCAGACTGGGGAATTTTACAATAATTTTTTTGTGTATTTAGTGTCCACAAGGCTTTTGCGTGACATTTTTGTTCAGCAACTTTGGCATCATATTATAGAGGGAAAGGCACTGCCATCCCTAAGGCCCACTTTCCAGCCCACCCTTTTCAAGTCTCACAGGAGTGGTGACTCGGTCCGCGCTACAGGGGACTTGCCCAGAACACGCCAGGCGACTGACTCCCAGGCCCGTCCTTGCCCAAAAGACCGCATCTTTTCTCGGAAATGTTCAATGTTAACAGCTCTCCTTAGGTAGAACTTCTCCTTGCTGACATGGTAGCTCCTGGATTCTTAGAGATTGCCTTGTAGAAAGACACAAATCTCAGGGCTGTAGAGAAAAGGATGGTGAGTTCAAGCAGAGAAAGGCACACAGGCTGTGTTCCGCATCTGGAGCTGCACAGAAACCGACTCATGCTACGCAGTTCATTTGTTCATTTCCTGCCTATCCACGGGGCAATTTGTTCATTTTTGCCTGGTGCATGGAGGAAGCCTGGCACATTTCAGGGTACGAGGGTAGGAGATGAAAAATCAAGGCAGAAAGGAGAATGGACAGAGATGGAATAATCACGCTTGCTAACCTTACTGAGCACTTACCCTGTGCCAGGCTCTGCTCTAAGTTCTCCATGCAAGAACTCATTTAATTCACAAAACGAACCTGAGAAGTAGGTAATAGTGTCCCACTCCACAGATGAGGAAACTAAGGCCCCGAGAGGTTAAGTAACCTCCCGAACGTCATACAGGTGGCAAGTGGCAGAAACAAGATTTAAAGTTAGGAGCCCAGCTCCAGAGCCCATGATTCCAACCATCTGCTGTAACGCTTCACTGCAGACCCCAACTGAGTCCCATCCAATCAGAAGCTCTGCTTACATGTTAACTAAGCAGCCAGCACAGCTCCTTCTAGAAAATTCTGTTCCTGAGCACTCATCCGGTCTGCTGCAGGAAGATTTTCTGACCCTACAGGATTCTGCCCTCTCCCTACTTCCAGCTGCATTCTGTGGAGCCAGCATGAATTCTTTCTCTCCCAGTGACTGTTCAGCTCCCTTCAGACAACATATATTGAGCATCCTCTGTGTGTCAGACACTGTGCTGGGCCCCCAGAATACAGAGACGAGTCACCTCCATCCTTGGCCTTCCAAAGAGCCTATAATCTGAGAGGGAGATAAACAGAGAAACAGATAGTATCAGCAGGATGTTGTGGCTGAGGCAGGCCCAGGGCGCTACGGGATAGACTCATTCATTTCTCAGTGGTCACAGTGGAATCCTCCTCGAGTGTAAGAACCTCGTTATAAATCTGAAGACAACACTGTTACCCCACTTTATAGGATAATCTCTATTGAGCTTAGACGGGGGAAACGTGATTGATCCAGAGTACATCTGGGTTCACATAAGAATTGAACCATGTGATGGGCTGGCCCAGTGGCATAGTGGTTAAGTTTACACACTCTGCTTCAGTGGCCCCAGGTTCAAGGGTTTGGATACTGGGTGTGGACATACACACTGCTCATCAAGCCATGCTGTGGCAGTGTCCCACATACAAAGTAGAGGAAAATTGGCATAGATGTTGTTAGCTCAGCGACAATCTTCTTTAAGCAAAAAGAGGAAGATTGGCAACAAATGTTAGCTCAGGGCCAATCTTCCTCACCAAAAATAAATAAGCAAATAAAAATTGAACCATGTGTTTTAAAAATCTATTTTTGAAAAAGAAATTGTAGTTGATGAATAAATTAGGTTAGAGATTTTTTCCTAGGAACTTTAATAAATTGTCAGGGTTAGGTCGTGGTAGTGGGGAAGAAAATAGCAATAATGCCTAATGCCAGCTACAGAACTCAATATGCTTATACTCAACATTGACGTCAAAGGGTATATATGTTATGCCCAGAAGATATGAAGAATGAGAAATAGGCCTCACCCCCATAGCCATCACGCAGGCGGTTACGACTTGGTGCCCTCGGACTCGAGGTAGAGGAACCTGCCTGAAATCGGGTAAAGACTTGAGCAGTGCCTCCCTCCCTGGTTTGGGGCCAGCCCCAGGTTTATTTGTGTAGGTGGGGTGGACATGTCCCACCAAGCAGAGGATGACAGTCAGTGCCACTGCATCCTATGGTCACCTGGAGGAGGGACAACATGGATTTGAATGATGGAAGTAACAGGGAAACAATGTTTGGCTTAAGACTATCCAAAGATGGAGCAGACCCTGGGCAGACAAGTTCCAGTGCCTGGAGTCCTTTCAACGTGCTTTGTTGACCACCAGCAGAGAGCTGTGGTGGGATGGGAGGAGGTTTTGAGATGCAAACATTCCAGGACTCTTGAATAACAATATTGCCAGGAAAAATATTCAAGGCATTGATTCATTGAGTCTATTATATTTCTTAAAGAAAGAAGCCCAGATTAAGTGGAACATTATCAATATTGAAGTATCAAGCCAATAGCTGGGAAGCTGTGGGTCTTCTCTAACTCTGAGTAACCTTATAACGCTTCTGGGGCTCTGCCTTTCATTAGTAAAATGGGGATAATAATACTGGGACCTCCATACCTGCATGTCAACAGTGAGGCAGGAATTACATGAAATAGTTTTCAAAGAATGTTCACATCTGTAAAGGATTCAATTCATAAGGGAGACGGGAACAAGCATTCCTCCATCTCTGCTAAGGGCTGGCCCCTCACAGAGTGAACCCTATTCAATCTTCCCTACCCCCTTCCTGGTGAGTGTGCAGCCCCCACGCACAGGTGAGGAAGCTGAGACGGTGGGAGGAGCTGACGAGTGTTGCCCAGACTGGCAGCAGGGGAAGCCAGGACTCAAAGCCACGAAACCCACAGCACCGGGTGTCGGTGAGGTCTGTCTGCTCTGCTCCTGTGAAGAATTGAAGTGTGCTTCTGTGCTCTGGCTTTGGTTCCTGGGAGGGGAGTAGAGATTTCACTTTAATCTTAATATCTTTAATATATTTTAATCTTAATGACACAAAATACCTTATGATCGTCATAAATTGGTTTTCTTTATTAAAGAAAAAGGATTATTAATACACAAGAAATGTTGTACTACCTTCAAGCTGAAACTCTCAAATGAAATGGTGATATTCTTCCATCGTTTAGAAGGTACTCAATTAGTCATTTAGATGTGAGTGTTACACGGTATGCTACACAGAACTTCCGAATGTATTTTCCTAAGTAAGCCTTTCAAGAACGCTGTACAGTATTTATCGTTACTCCCGTTTCACAGATGGAGGGGCCGAGGCTCAGTGATAGGTCCTGCTGCTGGCTCTCAGCCGACTGGAGCCCCACTTCTGACTCCTGCATCCCGTGCTCCTCCATCCTCCCAGCCGTTCCTTACAGAAGCCCGCTGTGGGCCTGGAAGGACCAGGCTCAGGTGGGGTGCTGTGCATGGGGGCAGAGGCCAGGACCGGTGGAAGGTTCTAAGGACAGATGAGAACTTAAGTCACCTGGCCCGGCCCCTGTCAGTCGAAGATCCTGAGGCTCAGGGGTTACGTGACTCGCGTGATCTATAAGACAGGAGGTGTAGGAGCCGGGGCTGCAGCGCAGGCAGTCTGACTCCAGGACCTGCACCCCAGCCACTCGGACAACTGTCTGTCATGTCTGGTCTCAGTGCCGCAGCTCGTGCATGCAGCGTGTTTGTTACTCTCCCCTCCCCAGCCCTGTAACACCACACTGCCACCAGTGCTCTCTCTAATACAGCTCAGTCATATCCCTGGTTTGCTTGAAATTCCTTACCACGTCCCCATTGGCCTTCTGGTTAAATCCCGGCATCAAAGATGTATTTATTTTATAAATAGAAAAATATAACAAATGCAATTTTTTTTAAACTCCAAACTGCAACATGCAAGATGTGGCCCGTCTCTAATTCACGCTCTCCGTGCACTGCAGCCACACCAAATTTTGCCCTAGCCAGCCCTGCTGCAGACACTAGTAATTGTCCCCAAGCTGCGTGAACCAATGATGAGCAAAGACCGCAGCCAGAATAACAGAGCCGGGACTTGAGCTCATCCTTCAGTCTGTTCTGCTTCCTCGCCAAGAATACTACCTCTCAATCACTTCGTTTAGTCATTGTATTTGTAACTCATATTCAAAGTGACAGATAGCATTCTATTTAGTTTTAGTTTTTTAACTCAAATTTTGAATCCAAAATATACTCAGACGTTTAAAAATTTTAAGTATAAAAGGGAATGTCTCCCAGCTGCTCAGTTCCCATCCCCGGGGACACGGCTGTTGTGAGGTTCTTATGCGCCCTTCCCAAGCTGTGGTGTGCACATACACCAGTACGGACAGATACATACACAGAGAGATTTCATACACACTTTAACATTTTATGCACATTGTTCACAGTCTTACTTTGTTTCACTTAATATATCTTGGGGTTTTTCCTTGTTAACTAGTAAAGAGATGATTTTTAACAGTTGCATAGTATTCCTTTGGATGAATTATCATAATTTATTTGATGAGTCCCCAGTTAATGAGAAATTTAGGTTGTTTCCAATCTGTTGCAATGAGTGACCTTGGGTGAGTCATCTCGCATGTGTGTTCATTTGTGTGTGTGTGTGTCTGTGAGGAAGATTGGCCCTGAGCTAACATCTGTGCCCATCTTCCTCTATTTCGTATGTGGGACGCCTCCAAAGCATGGCTTGATGAGCGGTGTGTAGGTCCAGGCCCAGGATCAGAACCCACAAACCCCAGGCCACCAAAGCAGAGTGTGCGAACTTAACCACTACACCACCAGGCTGGCCCCATGTGTGTGTTCATTTATGTAAAAAATGATAGCTGTTTTGGCAATTTTCTAAGCAACAGAGAATTTCAAATTAAGACTTTCTTTTTCTAACAGGGACGCATCAGAAAATTCTTTCCGAATCCCTCACACTCTCTCCTCTGTCTCCCCGTCTGTGAAACGAGACCATTTCTTGCCCCTGAAGGCTCATAGCTGCATGTTGTTAAGACTGAAGGTTTATCTTTCTTGGCTTTGAAATTCTTCCAAGGGAGGAAGCTTGTTTCTCCCTTTTAATCCAATTTCCTGTTAGAATAAAAGGATTTATAAACAGGATTTTTTTTTAATTTATCTCTTTTCTAGTCCTCTAACTTAGCAGTTTATATGACTGAGGCAGGTTTTTCCTGCAATAATTTTTTTTAAATCTCTCATTGATTCAGGGATGAATTTTTTTACTGCGCCAGGCCAAATCTGCTGTGTCTCCAAAATGAGAAACGCAAAAGCAAGGAAATGACATACCTGCTCTCGCTTTTTTATGTCAGAACATCCCACCAGCTACAAACACTAAGCTAACACATGAGAAATACGCAGGGTAAAAAGCCATCAAGTGAGAAGAGAATGTCAAACAAATTAGCAAATAATTAATTATCTCTTCCCAAAGCAGCCTGGGTATTTGGTAATAAAGTGGAAAACTGATTGTCACTAAAGGGTGAGGAGCTTCAGTCCCAGGGCCCGCCCTGTCGCATTCCCACGGCTGCAGTGAAGCTGTGCATTCAGCAGAGATCCCGGTGACAAAGATCAAGAGCTGGCTGCATCAGACGCGGGCTTTACTTGGTCACTGACTCCACCTGCCACGTCTCTTTGGCTTCTAAAGAGCTGCTCTTCCAACGCCCTAGAGACAATCAGTGATTCTCAGGCCTGGCTGCATAGTGGAATAACCACGAAGCCCTAAAAATGCCCCACCTCCAGAAAGTCTAAACTTAATGCTCAGGGTTGGGCCCTGGGAATCATTTTTTTAGAGCCCCACAGAAAAGTCTGATGTGCAGCTGGGTTGAGAACCACTGCGGTGGAGCTGTCTGGGCGGGGGGATTGCACGCAGTGTGTGTGACTCAGAGAAGGAAGGAAGAGGGGATTAAATGTGATAAAAAACCCAATTTGAGGTAACCCTGGAAACCCCACAAAGGCCAGTCTAACCCTTTTGCTCCCCTGCTCTGAAGCCTCAGTGTCTTCCATTTGTTCTCAAGATAAAGACCCCTTCAAGGTCTTGGGGGTCTGGCTCCTCCCCACCCTTCCCACTATTCTGCCTCTGTCTCGTGCACAGGTCTCCCTCAAGACCCCCGACACCACGCTTCCTTCCACCAGTTGGCCTTCACCTCTGACACTCTTCTCCCCACCCCTAGTTAACACCCACGTGCGCCAGGCATCCAGCCCTGCGCAGAGGGATGGACAAGCCTCCCGCGAGGGAGAAGTCCAGCTGAGAACCTAGCAGGGCCCAGCGCCACGGCCACCCCGCCCGGCTCTCTAGGGCAGTTCCCACGGGGAGCAGACTTCCTGGACACTTCAGTTAAAATATGTTGACAAAGAAAGGGAAGAAACAACTGAGAAAACTGGATTCTCTTTTACCAAAGGGCACGGACACGGGAGTGTTTGCATTTATTTTGTCTCACGCATCTTTTGTTGTGTGTTAACCTAACAGGAAAGTGGAGAGGAACTGGATTCTCAGGAAGAACCAGGAGGACCCCTCAGAGAAGATTATCAAGACACCCAAGGTAGAGAGAGCTGGGCTGGGTTTCATGACCTTACCGCGCTATCGGTCGGATGAACCTGACACTGCTCAAAGATGGCAGAGGGGAAGGACTCGTCCATTTGCTTGCAGGCCCTGGGTTGGAGTCAGGACACAAACCAAGTGCTGAGTTCAGACTCCCGTATGTTTTCAGTGCATCACAAGCCAGAGGGTAATAACATGCCTTTATGTCCTTGGATTTTTTCTTCTTCCTCTTCTTCTCCCCAAAGCCCCCCAGTGCATGGCTGTATATTCTAGCTGGAGGTCTGGTCCTGCTGTGGGGGACGCCACCTCGGCGTGGCCTGACAAGTGGCGCTAGGTCCTTGGATTTATTGAAACATTTCTTTCCTGCCAGAGGCTGCAGATGGTGAAAGAGAGTGGAGACTTTGGGGGCATTACGAAAGGCCCCACAGACACCTCCACCTCTGTGTTCCCCCTGCCTTCATGGGGGCTTGGCTGTGCAGGTGGGGGAGGACAGGTTTCCCTGCCTAGAGGGTAATATTCCAGCAGAGGGGGACAGCGTCCTTAGAGATCCGGTCCCTCTCACCCACAATTCAGGGTGACCAGAGCTGCTTGAGTTTGCCTTCCTCCAAAAATTATGCTCCGTTTGATAATGATGATGATTCTAGGAAATACTGGGCGTAGTTAATATTCCCAAGCTCAGAACTAGACTCTCAGCTCTCCCCCGGGGGCGCCCCCGTGTGCCCCGTGATGCTGTAGTGGGCTGGGCCCGGGCAGCAGAGCTGTTCTTAATCCTCGTTGCTTCTTGCGGGAGTGGAAACAGATGTGTGAGATTCTTGTGTCCTCAGGACGGATGCAGGGCCAGCCAGACAGCAGAACTGTGCTTGTTGTTTGCTCAACAAAGGCGTCCAGCAGAGAGAGCAGGTGGGGCTGGAACCCAGCCTGTGCTCTGCTCCCTAAGCCGTGCACCCCAGCACCGGGGGAGCCATCCACGGGGCTTCTTTTCCTACCTGGCTCTTCTCCTGGGCGCCTTTCTCTAACTCACACGAGGTCCCCTCTGTGGTCGAGCAGAGCAGGTCAGCAGGTCTGAGTCACTGTGGGGACGGCACGAGCTCTGAAGCTGGACAACCTCTGCCTTCACCTCTCCATGCCTGGGTGTCCTCAACTGAGGGTGAAAACAGGGCTCCCCTCATGAGGTTGCGTGAGGAATAAATGGAGTAATTCATGTATGGTAGCCCCCTAATGAAGATTAATCTTGACTTGGATTCACACTGCTTGAATATCTACCCTCTCGTGGTCGCAGATGACCAGTCTGTGAAATGACACCATGACTCTTCCTGTTTCTTCCGGACCCTATGGGGTGAGGGAAACCGCAAGAGCTCACTGGAGAGAAATGCGCAAAGTCATGGATTTGGGATTTCACCCTAAACTTGATCTTTTTCTGTTTATATCTTTTACTACTTCTTTCTGTTGACATCCTAGACAAAAATAATTAATTTTTATACTCGTTTAAAAAGATGTCACTGCTTCTGGATATCAGACTATAAAATATTATGGTAGCTCGATCTCTGGGTTTGGCCAAGCTTTTAGGCAGGGTTTCTGCTATCATAAGTCTCCTGCCACCTCCATTTTCAAAGCTGAGTGACAACAGCCAGGGAAACATGCTCCAGCCTTCAGATCTTCCACGTCGTAAATCACCTATGCAGGATGTGAACACTGATGGGCCTCCGGGGTCCGGACCAGGTGCAATGGAGGTTGAAGGCAGCGCAGAACACCGCCAGATCTAAGCAATGGCCAAAGTGCTCAGAACAGATGTCCTGTCTCGTGGCAGAGGGACGGGCTCCGGCTGAGCTCCACACAGGCTATTCGGACAGTCTGTAATGCAGTGAAACATGCCTGCAGAAAACTGAAGAAGGCATTTGCCTGTCCTGAATGATAAATACTGCTGTTTCAAAAGGATTTCAAATCTTTGAAGGAAAAAGAGGAGGGAGCGCCAAAAAAAATTTTTTTAACCATTTAAGGATCAATTTCCCCCTCAGGGGTCTTACGGCTGGATGTCAGGATTTTTCCTGCTCTAAATTAGGCAGTGATCTTCGTGGTCGATTACAAGCAGTGAGCCTGCTGCGTCCTGAGTCTCGGACTTGGTGAGAGTGCTGAACACAAGTTTCCACAAGACAGGTCAGATCGGCAACCTCCAAATCGAAGAAGGGGTGGGGAATGGCTCTTGTTTTAAACACAGAACTTTCCTTTCCACCCCTTTCGCCACCCCTAAAGTCCAAAGAAAGAATAAAACTTTAATTCTTATTTCAATTTTTATTTCCTAGGCCGATGGTTCTCGAACTTCAGAACCACCTGCAAGGCTTGTTAAAATAAAGACTTCCGGGCCCCTCTCCCCGAGTTTCTGGTTCACTAGATCTGGGCTGAGGTCAGAGAATTTGCAATTTTACTAAGTTCCCCGGTGACTCTGATGCTGGTGGTCCCAGGACCACACTTTGAGAACCATGGCCCTGGCCTTGCTTCTGGGATGACTTCTCTGAATTGGGCAGTGACTTGATTTAACTTATTCCTTTAAAAATAAGGAGGCTGGGAGGATTGGAGGGCACTGCTCAGGCAGCTTCACAGAGATCAGGAGCCCCGATTATCAAGTCTGATTCCCTGGGTTCCAGACCAGGCTCCCCCCTTACTAACTGCATGGCCTTGAGTGAGTTACTGAACTTCTCTGGGCACCGTTTCTTCACTGTAACATGGGGACACTAACTGTCCTTATCCCGTGGGGTGGCTGTGACATAAAGGAGGTAATATGTGAAAGGTGCTTGTGAGAGTGCCTGGCACAGAGTAAGTGCTCACCGGAGGTTAAGTATCAGTCTGTTCCTCAAAAACCTCAAGCTTAGCAGCCATAGTTTGTAACTGGTCAGGAGAGACTTGTTCCAAGTTGCAACATGATGCCTTCTTTACTTTCCAAGTCAGTCTCAGCGGCAAGAGGGCTTGCTCTTGGGGGACCGACGGAGTCCTCTGTGTGAGGCAGTCTTTTGCTCCAGCGCAGGTGGGGGCAGCAGACCCAGTCTGAACAAAGCAGCCCACCAGCCTCTGCATTCGATGGAAGGTTACGTCACAACAGTGACACAACCGCTTGGAATGCGGCAGAACTTAAGATATTCTTAAGAGGAGTGAGAGATTTAGGGAGCCCTGTGTCAAGTGCAGGGAGCCCTAATGAGTGGCCTGAAACAATGGGGGGGGGAAACAAAAGGCAGGTCTTACAGGAACACTTAGAAACCAATGAGCCATTTCTCTTCTGCCAGGAAAAAAGGCTCAGAGGGTTACTGCTTTATTCAAGAGATGGATGTGTGGTAGTTAGGATGCTGGTACAACTGTTCTAACAAGGACCAAAATAAAGGACTTCAAACAGGCTTCAAAAGACGCGCATTCAGTCACCAGCCCTGCCCTTGATTAGGTCTGCCGTCCAGGGCACATCGCGTCTCTGGCCACGGTTTCCTTTTCTATAAACCCAGAGGGTTGGGTGGGATGAGCTAGGGCCCCGTCCCCCTCGTGCTCTCTGCCGCTGTGACGCACCCAGGCTGGTACAGGGAGCGGCAGCAGAGCCAGGACGCGGCTGGGCCTCCTTCCCCAGCTCCTCCCACCACACCTGCTCCCAGGGAAGGCCAGCCGCCATTTCCTACATCCCACATGAAGCTCTGCTGCCACCCAGCCCCCGTTGGGTCACCAGACGCTGACCAAGAGAGTCTGGAGGGGACCAGCAGCCCCTGTGCTGTACGTGGGCCCTGGCTCAGCCGCCACAGCCGGTGCGTGAGAGCCCAGCAGGTCAAGAATGCGAACCCTGGCTTCACCACGGTCCTCCTGCACTGGCACGCGGCCTCACCCCTCGGCCTCTCTAGGCTTCCCCTTCCTCATCTGAAAATAACAGAATTGACCTTCCAGTCTCTACTTCTCCTTTTCTGTGGTTCAGCGAGCTCGGAATTGTTTCCGTTTAGGGGAAGAGCAGAACCCTGTGTTAGCACTGTGCGAGCACCAGGGTTCAGGCCCCAGGTCCGGGCCTTCCTAGGTCTTCAGCGGCTGACTGCAGTGATGGAAAGCTCTTCATTTACTTCGCAAACATTTGCTGATCCCCCACGAAGTGCCAGGCCCTCTGCGGTTGGATCAGACACACTCCTTATGGAGCTCCCACTTTAGCAAAGGAGCCAGACACATGCACAGATGGTTCCAACCATCTGTGTGTTCCGTGTGTTCCCTGCTCTGAGAGAACAGAGGAAGGACACCTGATCCAGACTGGCATCAGGGGATGGGGAGAAGTCAGGGAGGGCTCCCTGGAGGAGGTGTCCCTGACAGGGAGGAAGGAGTGTCCTGAACCCAGAGTGCATTCACCAGTTCGTATGAAGGCATCTGGACAGCAGGCCCAGTTCTCTCTCACTGTGTGCCGGGCACTAGTTAAGCATTTTCCATAAATTGTTTCATTTAACTTTTACAAAAGAAAGAGCTCGTATTATCTCCATTTACCAGATGAGAAGATTGAGGCCCAGAGAGCTTAAGTAACATGTCCCTGGTCAAAGAGTTGGGCAGTGGGAAGGCTCCAGATCTGACTGACCTCCCCAGACCATCTGTAGACATTGAGTCTCCTGGCTGTTAACAGTTATCAAAAGGAGCGTCTGCCAACCCTGCAGCAGGCAGATGGAGAGAAAACGGAAGGCCGGTGAAATGGAGAAGAAATGCTCCACCACACACATAAAGCAGAGAAATCTGAACGCAGAGACTCTTCAGGCAGGTATTTTAAAAAAGAAAGAAAGGGGCCGGCCCTGTGGGCAAGTGGTTAAAGTTCCACGTGCTCCACTTCGGTGGCCCGGATTCATGGGTTCGCATCCCAGGTACGGACCTGCTCCGCTCAGCCACGCTCTGGAGGCGTCCCATGTACAAAGTAGAGGAAGACTGGCACGGATGTTAGCTCAGGGCGAATCTTCCTCAGCAAGAGAAAAAGAAAGAAAGAAAGTGTGGCAAATGGGGGAGGAGAGGAAG